TCCCTTTTGGGCACTTCAAAAAGACCTGGAAGAAGGTTCTAAAGAAAAGATACCAATGATGCAGAAAAGATGAGAGTGCTTGATTTCAGAATTTCCACCACAAACTATTTGGCAATTTATAGCAAATCATCCAGCAGTTTACAGTTAAAATTTCGTACTTCAAAAAGTCACATACAGCTGTGCTGCTAAGCCAAGGAGGGTGGTTTTCATGAATTGCCCTTACTCTGAGAAGTATCTATGGTCTCTGCAATCTGTTTCCGTTCATGGATGTTGCAGCACCAGGCAGTTCAGTACATGATTTGCTTCTGCCTATGACCTTTTATTGTCCTGATTTCTTTCCTCTTTTGAGGAAGATAGGGTAAATATCACATGTTCCTTGTAAAGTCCAGACACCAGGAATTGCTGCAGGAGGCATTGAAACATGCTGAAAGTTTAATAACCAGAAACAGCAACATAATAAATGTAAGGAGAAAAACTGTCATGACTTTAGTCTTCATAAAATCTTATGATCTTGCAGAAAGGTCGACTGGGAACTAGATCAGATTCTCTGTCCTGCTCTGCAGTGTCCCTTCTTTTTCATATTTCTTTTTCATCGTATTTAGACCTATTCTTCAAGCTTAGCTAACTGGGGGTTTTTAGAAATGAACTTGAGCAGAGCAATGTCTTCATTTCGATGCTGGTTTTGGCAAAGGTCTTAATTTTAGATAGAGCTTAAACTAGTATTAATTCTTGATCCTCTGCATTTCTTTTAATCAGTGATCTATCTGCAAGACAACATTAAAATATTACTGATAAATTTTTCAGATGAGAAAAGGAGCAGGACAGCAACTGATCCAGGGGACAGGCCCAGGAGACAGAGCAGCCTGGGTTTCCTGCTAAGCTTCCCATTTTTCAATAGACCCATTTAGCAAACCAGTGTGCAGGTTGCACTTGTAGATGGATGACTCCTTCCTGGGAATTATTGGCAGTGAAAGAGGGCTTAATAGTCAAATCAATTAAGTGTGCCTTGGCCCTGGACTTGGGACGTATGAATAATAACAGAGAGGTCATTTTGTATCTGAAAACTTTATTAATTTAAGATTAAGGTTAAGTAGTTTGGGGTTTTTATGCAAGCTCTTTCACTGACTTTAAGTATGAATTTAGGTTTAGGCTTTGCAAGGAGGTCTGGCTTTCTCTCTGTTTTCAGATGGAGGAGGGTGCATCTGTATCACCCTTTTGGTCAGAAGTGGTCTTCTGAGGCAAATCTCCTAATTATCCCTAGTTACTGCACTTCAGTAATGCACTCTGTGTGCTACAGCCACTCACAGGGTTTTTGTGAAATCAGACCAGAGTTAGTCAGCAGTAAATCCCATGAAAATGAGGTAATACGGATCTAGGATACTTGGCACCAACTATTTCACTCTCCTTCTTTCAGTGTGCAATGTCTGCTGAGATAACCTCAGTGATGCGTGCCACGGGGGATACGGCTAACATCTCAAAACTGCTGCCCAGCTCCTGTTTTGTGCATAGGTTGCTGCTTCAGTTGCTGTGCAGAGCCACTTCAGTGCTAGTGCTGCCTTGTAGTTAACGATCTGCTTGGTGCCCAGTTCCTGCTGAAATCTTAGAGATCTGAAGTGGGATTCTCAAAGTAACTTTACACCTGCTTCTCTTACAAGTAGGGATTTACCCTTTAAGTGCTCTCAGATTTGAGAGCCCCCAGTGTGTTCTCAATGCCGACGTTCATGTTGCTAACTCCTCTCATACGCAGGTCTCTGCTGAACTGGAGATAGCTTTGAGTCAAATGCATATCATGTCCTTGAGTGAGGGAATGCTTGTAGTGAATTGGAGCCCTTTGCTAAAAGCTGCTACAGTTTTGCAAATTCTATCATAACATTTCAGCTGTATATTTTACTCAAGCTCGGCAAAATCAGTTCAGACTTCCTGATCCTGCAAAGTATTCAGCTTTAGGTTCGCCTTCAAATTCATTCTGCTGTTTAATGTACGTTTTCCCATGGAGCTTTTCCCACTTTATGATGTTGGTATTTGGATCAGAAAGAGAGACTGAATAATGTGAGACTTTTAATAATTTTTCTTTTCTGACAGAAAGCACAAGTGAGTGCACAATATTTTTGTGCTAATACATACAGATGCATACTTGAACTAGTGGACCTTCCAGGAGGCACCTACTGCTTTTCATAACAAGTTTATTGATGAACGGGAGCCAGAAGAATGCATTTTTGGAGAAGGGAAAGAGTAGGTATATATATATCTACTCTAATTGTACAGAGGGCTGCTCCTTAGCTCATTAGTTTATGCTGGCTAAGGAGGATTCATTAATTTAAGCCATTCCCTACATGCTTTTCCACTCAGTTATGTGTTATTTTTGTGCTTCTTGCTCAGACCAGACTTCCAGAGAAGGTATGAGTTGCAGGATTTCACTTGGAAATTTTGTTATACAGTTGTATAACAACTATATGAAGAATTGAGGCTCCAGCTGATCTTGGATTACTTTATGCTTTCTTGAAAATGTTGCTGTGGGGATAGAAAGAAAAGGAGGAGAAAGACTGACAAAAATTTTCTTTCCACTTGACAGAGTTGAAATAATCTTCCAAAGGCTGTGAACTGGAGCTTGTGGACAGCCAGAAAAATCTCCACTCTCAAATCTTTTATTTAGAACAATATTCCATGCCTATCTTAAGCTGTTTTGCAAAGGTTATTTGGCAAGAGATTTCAAGTTTCCTCTAGTTTGGTTTTCACAGTTCTATGATGAAGGCTTTATTTGGGTATCAGCAGGAGGATGATGTGAAGCCTTTCCGTGGGCGATATAGGTAGACCCATTGGTGTTTCTAGGAATGGAAATTGCTGCTCTGGCTAACATATTTTTGTGCTCAGAGGGAGGCAAACCAGCTCTGCAACATGCAGTATAAGGGAAAAACGGTTCCAGAATCGCAGAACCATCAAAATGGGAAGGGCCCTTGAAAGATTACATGGTCCAACCTTCTGTGGGAAATGGAGCCTAGATACAATTATCTATCGCCTTGTCCAGTTGCATCTCAAAAACCTCCACTGATGGGGACTCCACCACATGCCTGGGGAACTTGTTTCAGGGAATGATTGTTCTCACTGTAATTTCTTTTTTTTTTATATCAGGATGAAACCTCTCCCAGTGCAACATGTACCCATTGCCCCTTGTCTTCTCCATGTAGCTCCTTGTGAAGAGAGACCCTCATATCCTCTTTGCTGTCTGAGTAGCAGCATGCTCTGCAGTTACAAGCCCTGAACCCTCACAATGTAAAGTCTGGATATGTGATGGAGCATCACGCTCTGCAGTGCAGTGCGGCAGGGTCAAATGAACAAAATATTGACATTTTGAGTCATGAAGCTGTCTGTCATAAGCTTCTGATATATAAAAGTCTTCACAAAAATCACTCACCTCTTAGACTGTCTGTGGGGACAGAGGGGTTGCTCAGTCTGTTACAGGATGAGAGCTCACCTCACGGCTCTTCATGGAATATGACTCTTGGCTTACAACACAATATGGTCCCCAGTTATCTCGTGTAATTTACTTCCTTTTAACAGTTTAATCTACCTGCATGTCATATGCAAAAGCTTCTCTCAGGTACTTGTTTCAGGAGAGGAGTGGACCTCCTTCCCTCCATCCCATTTCCCCATGCTTGCATCCTTGCCGTTCCTTGAGAGCCTTCCTCTATGTAAGGAAGTGTCCCAGGGGCTTATGGTATTGGTGGGGGCAGCTGCCTGGAGCTGAACCATGGCAAATCACTGAGCTTCCCCAGTGAGGAAAGCTAACAAATAGCACTGACAACCCTAGTTTGTTTTTTCCTCTGAGTTGTTTCCTCTTCTGCTAAGATTACAGTGAAAACTTTTAAACAAAGCTAAAAAATGTATGCACTTCTGTGAATGATTTCATGGGTTTAAATAAGATCTCCTCTTTCACAGAGAACAGCTATATTGAGCATTTTAGTAGTTACTAATAACTGATGTTTTTCTGCCTTCCATTTGCAACTCTTACGCAGCTGCTAGAAATGGCATCAGTCTCTTTAGGCTTCTCGTTAAAATAAATGAAAAATGTATATATTATTATGCTGTAATGACATCATTCTGCAACATATATTTTACATACGTCTGCTATGTATAAAAGCTCATGTGAGTGTCGCTTTTTCTTTAGAGAGCTACTTCTATATGGGGTTCGGAAAGATAGGATGTTCCTGTCCAGTAGATGTCTAGTGCTTTTTGTCATTCTGTATTTTAGGATGTTAGATGCTGAGTTTGCTGTGATACAGAATTTTTGCTTAATACAACTTTCAACAACCTTACCAGCTCTCAAATTTCTAGGTGAGCTGAGTAATAAGTATTTTGGGGAAACGAATGTGTAAGAGGATATGCCATTTAATTGAGGAAACGAGAAGTATAATATTAACTATATATATATATATCTGTCATACTGGGATGACTCAAGTCGTACTTCAGTTAGAAGGCAGGCTCTAATACTGCTGTAAATGTAGCATAAGGATATTTAGTAACTGGAAAGAGATGCCAAAATTTTCCATGCAGAAGTTAGGTAATTGTGGGGTTTTAGGAGGCCTGCTTTTCATGATTAAGGTTTGGTACTGAATTTTCATACAGCTCAAGCTTGATTTTCGATAGAGTTCTCTGATTTCTGTATGTGTTGGTGATCAGTACTTTATTCCTTAGAACAGGTTGTAAAGGAGGAATTTTCCTTTGCTGAATCTTCATTCTGTTCCTATGCCACTCAAAAGTCAATGGAGGTTTAACTTTTTCACTGTCTGTTTCTAAGGGTTTCTGAGATAAAAATCAGGCTTTCTGGCCCTTCTGTAAGTAAAATAGAGTCACTCATGGTGCATCCATTGGCTGGGAAGATGAATGGCTTGCTTTGGACCATCTGAGAGCAGCAGGATCTCAGGTGTGATGGGTGGTCATTAGAGAAGGTGTGCCAAGGCTCTAATTAATACAGTCCTTTCTCTTTTGGTTGCCTTCACTAGGAAACTGCTGGAAGAATGCTGTGACCCTGCACAACTCTTTGCTATGACAAAGCTGAACTCCCCAATGGGAAAGAACCTCTGGTTTGACGGGGAATTTTTATATTCCGTGACTATCGACAATGTGACTTACTCCCTCTTCCCACAGGTTAGTAACCTTTTCTTCTTCTCACTTTAAGTAATAATATACTAAATAGTAACATGGTACAGGTGAGTAGGCTAAATGTTCATCAAGAAATTCTATCTTCATGTCTCAATACAAAACAACCTCTTCTGCTTTCTTACTTCTTTGTTGCGAAAATCATAAAATGTTTGTAAGCATGTTAGTACTTCCCTGACCACTTTTCAAGTGTGCAGATATACACAAGGGGTGAGATTGGGCCACCCGTCTTGATGTTTAAAATGCTAAGCTGTGGCTATTTTAGGAAGGTGATTTCTACATTTCAGCCAGTGATCATGCTCCCTGGGAGTTTATTATATTCAGTTTTGCTCGTGGAAGGGGAGATATTTTATGTGGCTACACATTTATAGAAAGACAAACATCTTGAACGTATTAATTTATGTTTATTCTAATTTATCAAATTAAAAGCATAGGTATTTATTAAGCCTCCCAGTTAGTGTTGAGTCATTCACACTGGGCTTTTCTCATTTGTTGTTGTTTCAGATAAACATGTAGCAGAGTTCTTACTTGTTAAACTCATCCTGCAAATAAAACATCCAAAAGGTAATTAAAAAAAAGGCCAGCAGAGTAACGACTTCAAATGTTTGTTTTAGTGGAGATAGAATGAGAGGAAAATGCAGAGTGAGGAAGAAGACATGGGAGCAGCTGCTTTCTGTTAAAACGTCATCAGGAAGAGGGGTTTTAGAGCTGTTTCTTGTTTAGGCTGCCAGCCTGCTGTCTTGTCACTTGGCTCTGCCTGTTGCAATGAACTGGTTAATGGACCTCTACCTCCTCCAAGCTGCTCCCCAGCTGCTGTGTGTCTGCAAGCTCAGCAAACAAGTAGATGCTGAAACGTGCATGGCGAGTGTTTTTGCCTGCTGTACAGCTGGAAGGGGGCTGCCCTGCTGGAGTTAATTTCGTTCCCTGCCTTTGAGACTGGTAGAAAGTTTGTGGTGTGTCACAGAGAGGCAGCTGTAAATCCTTTTTATGATGATTAGTAGGATTTGTTGATACAATATTGCACTGTTTACTGGAGAAAACTGAAATCTTTGGCAGAGCTGTGAACTTTGCACTAAACAAAGATATTGGCAGTGACTGCTCAAAATGTGTACATCCTTTCCAACATTTCAGAAAAGCCCCATGTGGGATGGCACAGTGAGGTCACTATTTTGTGTTGGATTTGGGATTTCAGATTTGGCTTTCTTTGCCACATTGGTGTCCTCCTTCCTCTCACAGGGAAGAGCAAAGTACTGGATGGGCTTCTTCAGAGAGGTTAGATGGGAATCATATTCTTTGGAACTCCAGTGGTTCCCAGGCTCCCAAGCCCTACCCTCAAAGTTTATCAGTTGATTGGATTGAGAGTGAGGATCTGGGAAGCCCTGGGAAGGCAAACTGCTGAGAGACAACATGAGGTAAGGATTTGGGACTTCAGTGTCCCTTAGGCTTGCCAAGCAGGCTGCAGAGGATGGGTAGGTGCAGTTGTAGGGATGGTGGTGGAAAAGGTGAATTTTCATAATGTTCCAAGCTTAGAACAATGCTAGAAAGGAGCTCTAGGACTGGTGCCAGAAACACTATTCCTTTAATGAATTGACAGGCAGTTAATTTCTCACAAATGCTACTTGCTACTATACCCTCTTTTCTTGCAAGTACCACTGCTCCTAACTTGATGTGTTATTCCTATGTATTTGGCCCAGAGGAATTTTGTAGACCTTTCTCAGATTAAACTTTTTTGGCTTAAAACCTCAGGAAGATTTATTTGCAGTAAATTCTTAAATGAAGTATTTTTCTACCTCTCTCTTTGTTTCAAGAAAAATACTCACCTAAATTTTTCAGTCTTCTACTTTGAAGAATGGTGTCTATTAGCTTGCTAGCAACCAGAAAGTGACTTTTGTGAAGATGAATATTCCTTTCAAAAGTATCCAGAAGCTTAAAACCACTCATAAAATATGGGTAATACCCTGAAATGCTCAGGGGAAGTAACAGGAATGTAAAGGGCTGCAGCTATGTTGATATAATCGCGAAAATATTTCCTCCGGAATAAATAAAAACGGTTCCATCCACATCAATCTGCTGGACTTAAGCCATTTTGTGCTTGCAGAAGATTTCTCAGTCCTGAGCCATTTATTAACTTACAGGATAAAGTAACTGAACTATATAGCAAAGTGGCTATATTTTATGGCAGAGAGTAAGCTGGCTGTGCATGAAGAGAGACTTATACAGAAGTAATGTAAGTATGCCAGAAATTAATATGTAAAATGTCACTTATTTTTGAATCTGAACAGTGCAAAATAGAATATTTTTTCTTCTCAGTAATCTGTAGATAAAGCTCTTGCAGCTGGTTCAACATTTTCTGATGGAGTGCTTTTTCTATAAAAATGCTATTTCGTCAAAATATAAATTTAGTATCAGCTCATTTTTTTTTCAGTTTTTCTTTGAAGTGAAAAGGTTAAAAGGTTTTGGTAGTGTTATAGCATTTAATTTTACCATTTTTTGAATGTAATATTTCATCCGTGTGGATGTTTTTTTTTATCAGCTCCATTGCTACCTTTTTTTTTTTCCCCCCTCAGACTTTGCTTGATTATGTTCCTCCTCCTTTTATTTTTTAAGTTTTTGGTTGGCCAAGGGATAAATTTGCAGAAGAAAAGAACTTTATTATGGAAACAGTAATCCAGTGTTTCATTTCAGTTTTTGAGAACAAAATTTGAAGTTGCAGAGTTTTTTATGAACGAACAATTACAGCTACTGGAATCACAGCATGGCTGGAAAAGACCTTAGAACGCATCTAGTTCCAACCCCTCTGCCATGTCCAGGGGCATCTTCCATTAGACCAGGTTGCTCAAAGCTCCAAGTAGGTCCTCTTACTCTCCCCCTCTCTGTGTCATTTCCTCCCTGATTTCTAGAATGGTTTTTTTTTTTTTTTGAGACAGAAATTAAATATTACGCAGACTGCACTATCTTTCCCGTCCTGGAGAGAAACTGCTAGTGGCTCAGTGTCAGTACCCAATGGTCAGGAGAAGTCTGGTGCAGGACATGGGTCATCACAGAAAATGGCCTAGCGTGCAGTGAGGGTGGGCATCCTGCCCGCATCATCTCCCTACAGTGTCATTGCCTGGAGCTGTCGGATAATGGAACTGAATTTTAATTAAAGTCAGACATTTCTTGACAGCAGCTTTGTTTTATTACTTGATGTGATCTACAGCATTACACTCTTAGGAGACAAAAAGTATAGAGTCTGCATGTAACTGTAGGTGTAGTTTAATACTGAGATATTATTCCTACTGTGTACCTACCACTTTTCTAAAGCATTTCATGTAGACATGAAATTTCAATACTAACCAGTAATTTTGATAGGTGTCTGGGGACACTGACAGAGATGCAGGTGAACCTACTACAGTTGAGTTCAGCAGCATGGTCGGATAAACCTCTGAATAGCCAGGCTGCCATATCTTAGGTTGACCACTAAAGGCCATGGGTAACTTACAAATGTATTTATTTCCTTTCCCTTGTAGTCCAACTGTTATACAGAAAATGGATCAGTGTGTTGGTGAATGTTCAGGAGTCCCGTCCCTGACAGGACAGAGATTTACACCTTCCTCCCTCTTCAGCTTGGAGGTGGGTTTAGCCGTGCAGCTCTGGTCCTGTTGCACTGTATTGAGGCATGATTAGCATTTTCCATCTTTTAGATGGAAAATGACTAGACCATCCTGACTAGAATGGAAGAAACCAGTCTTCTATATATTCCTACAGTAATTTTTAGATGCTATGGGTAAACATGATGTAACCACAGGAATAGCAGGGATGTAACTCAAGACCACGTGAGAGAAATGTGAACTAGCACTCATCAGCTTTTGAGTTAGGGCAAAAAACCAAGCCCCAGTTTCAAACATTTTCTAGAACAATTTTGTGCTCTTTCCTGTCTTTTTCTTCCTCAGAGGCTCAAAAGCAAGCTTCAGACTATTCTTAACATTAAAGGAAGAAAAAAAAAAAAAAGAAAAAAGAACCACCTCACCCCAGGATTTGGCTGTTTATGCAAATAATTGATTTCTGTTGCTTGTTGGCAAAAGCTTATAACAAGGAAGAACTGAGGTGAATTCCTGAGGCCTCCTTTCCCTTCCCCAAAAGGTTAAAGAAATAGTAAAATCAAATGGAACTTTTCACTCTGCCATGTAAAGTATTATTTTGGAGGATAGAAGAGTGAATACATTTCAAAAGACATTTCCAATGTTAAGCTTCAACTTTTTAATTCGACAAAATAAGTAATTGAAAAATTTCTGGTTTTATTATATTTCACCAGGAGGAGTTGGGCAAATTTGGTACCAGTAAATTATCTGAAATTATTAAAATGTGGCTCTCCAGCTGCTCAAGTCCCTTCTAATGTTTCACTTGCAAAATGCTGTCAGGTAGAAGAATGGCTACTTGCAATGAGCTTCTCATGAGTAGTCATCTCAAGTAGTGTTTGAGAAATCCAATGGAAATAGCTTCAAGCCACAGATAAATCTGGGAAAGCTGGCAGCTGTTTATGGATACCTTGTAACCAGGAAGAAGGCAATATTTTTCAAGTTATTAATTAGAGTTTCAATTCTTGTTCTTATATGAAAGCAGGGAAAAAGTTCATCTCTCCAACTTTAACTGTAAGATGAAGACATTCTCTGGGTACCAGGGAGAATGTTGTATTGAGTAACAGTGAATGATTTCATGTTTTTTATTCAGGGTACCTGTTAGATTCTGGGAACTTGTTTAATTTTTCTTGGTTGCTCATAGTATTCCTCCTTTGGCCAGAGATTTTATCATGTCCTCCTCTGATGCTGGTATTTGTGCTGTGTCAAAGCAAATTCCCTAGTCTTGCATCTATAGCCCACAGTTAGTAGAAGAATTTGTATTATTTCAGGGAAATAATTCAGGTTTGGAAAGGGAGTTCAGTGTAGCATCTGCAGGCTTTTTCCCTTTTCCCCAGGAAAAACATACTCTTCCTGAGGAAGAAAATGACT